CTCTTTAACATCATTACAGTGGATAATCCGACATTAGCAACTGCCTTGCAAGGGCTTCAATTTCCTCCACCGCCTCCTCCACCTGACGGTCCTACGCAATTCGAGCAAGAATCCGAAGAGATGATCCGGGAAGATGTCATCAACCTAAGGACCCAACAACAAGAGTAGATTAGGATTTTTATTTCATTTTTATCGCATATTTTGTTTTATAATGTTTTTAATTTTTAATATATTTTTATAAATTTTTTTTTTTAAAAAAAAATAATAATCGACGCTAATTAGCGTCGAATTAGCGTTGAAATATTAGCGTCGATTTAGCGTTGTAATTAGTTGCGACGCAAAATTAGCGTCGATTTAGCGTCGAAAGTTAATTAGCGTCGAGGGTTTAGCGTCGAAATCATTTTCGACGATAATTCGACGCTAAGAGCTTTTAGCGTCGATTTAGCGTCGTAATTAGTTGCGACGCAAAATTAGCGTCGATTTAGCGTCGAAAGTTAATTAGCGTCGAGGGTTTAGCGTCGAATTACGCTGACACTAAATGTCTGTTTTCTTGTAGTGTTTTTTTACTTCGTAGAAATCGGTAGATAGATATTTTGTTAAGTATTTGATAAAAAAAGAAATTTTTTTTTTTAATTATAGGAAAAAATTGTGCCCGGGCTCGCATGGGTCGTAATACTAGTATTTATATGAATTACTATTAGTGATAATGATCGTGATTGCGAATAAAAATTATAGAAGGGAATACATTGAGTGCTTTTCTTATTTTAAATTGGATTCTTATCTGTAAAGCATAATAAATGGAAGAGACGACAAAGTCGTAAACGGATACGGAAAGACGTCAATTGTATATCTTTCGTTTCATGACAAAGCACAACGAACATGATATAGATGGTACCTAACCTTGAACGTATCGTACTCTTTCACTCATTCTTTATACTTTTTTTTTTTTAAATTATGACACAATAATGATATTAATATAAATCATTAGACCACATGTTTTAGTCGCATAGATATATCATTTTATGAGGTAAAATAAAACATTAAACAAAATTATAAAATCAAAAGCACTAATAATCTAATTTCTATAACAATTAAAATTATAGTTTACTAAAAAGCAAAAACTCTAGTTTTCTCTCTAGGAATCGCTACACTAATATCGTTTCTATGCGTTTTAATTTTTTTTTTTGTTTTTGCTAAATTCTATGCATTTTAGTTTCGCGTCCGACAGTTACACCAACTCCGGTTTCCTTTTGCTCTTCTTTTCGTCGTTTATGTTTTCTCGGATCCAATTGGTGGTTCATCATATTAAGCTTTGTCTTTGCAACCAAGTTATAAATGTGTATTTCGGAGTATGGATAGCTGATTTGGATAGAATTGTTTCATGATCCAATAAATTAAGATAGAAGCTTATAGAAAAACGGTTGGTAAGCTTATTATGCTTGAACCTTAATTTTCTTTTTTCTTTTTATCAAATGAAAAAAAATCCTTAAATTTCTTTTATCCATAACTTTGTCTAAGTAGATCTATATTGTAACAACATGATCTAGGGGGCTAAGGTGGTGATCCTAAGAACTTTTAGCCGAGCAATCAGTAAGTTAATGGTCCAAATCGAACCTAGGAATGTTAAGTACATGATTCCACGACAGTACATGTTATATTTATGAGAAATTTTAAAAATATCACTTTTCAAATGTTACTTTAGAAAAATACCACACTTTTGAAATCTTTACAAAAATGCTACTTTTTCAAAATTATTTTTTTNTTTNTNTTATTTATGTTTGGGTTAATTATGTTCTATTAGAGTTTAGTTTTGAGTGTTTAGGGTGTTTTAGGTGTCAAAACATTTTTAGGGTTTAGATTTTTAAGATATAGGCTTTATAAATCTATAATTAGTGGCATTGTTATAAATGGACACCCCTAAGTGGCATTCTTGCAAATGTGCATACAAAAAGTGGTATTTTGTAATTGTCACTATATTTTTTAGTAACTTCCAAAACAAAGCAAAATTTCAGATTATGGACTCGATAGTATTTTTATTATTTTTGTAAATTAATTTTCCTTGTTGATATTTTTTGTTTGAACTTTAATGAACTTA